GTTTATAATGCTTTTTGACCATGTAGCCCTTGTTCTTAGAGCACACATCATGCAGGTCTGCCTTGCACCCAGGAATCACTGCTTTCTGACCCTTCCCATTAGTGGAGATCATTGAGCTCACCTGGACCTGCTTCTGTCTTACTCTCACACTTAGAAACACTGCAGCATGTTCACCTCAGTGGTATTGGGGAAATTGTCACTATTCTCCTCATCTAGACACCAGGGACCTTGAGGTGATCCAAATCAGTCTGCCACTTTACTGATAAGAACTGAGGAACAGGTGCGTCAAGTGACTTGTCCAAGGTTACCTGGCTTGCTGGTGCTGGATTGCCTAAATCCCAGGCCTTCATGCTTTTTGCTGCACCAGTATTGCATTTCTTAGTTTTCTTTTTCTCTTAGTTCTTTTTCTCTAAGCCCTTGAATACACTAACTTAGTGTGTCTTCTGATTCGCTTTCATTTCTTTATTCTGAATTTATGGAGCCTGGTACATGATATAGGAGTCTAAGAATGAACAAAAAAGTAATTTAGTTAGATCTCCATTATCTGTGATTGGTCTTGTATTTTCTGGACTTTCTGATAGTGGCTTTAACATACTGAGCAGGCAGAGATAGAAGGGGAAAGTCTATCAATATTCTTTCCACCATCTATAACTTAATTTTAGAGCTAAGTATGACTTCTCTGTTATTGCTCATGTTGGAAGTTGACTATCTGGTGTTGACTTGCTGTTTAAGAAATATTTTTGCCAAGTGAGGGAGAATACCGTGGAATCAGAGTGTTAGAAGGCTCCCACAGCTCATAGGCAGTACTTGAAGAAATTGAGTGAGCCCAACAGGCTTGGTAGGACTGCCCTGAGCCACCTGGGTTTTGGCTGACAGTTTTGATACTGAAAAGACTCACTCATCTCCCACCATGGTACAGATGTCTTGGTACTTGGTGTGGACCAGCTACGTCATTTCCCTAAAGGAGTTGTGAAAACTCTAGAAAATTTAAGCCAGTTTTGAGTTTGTGCCTTGCAGGCCAATATCATAAATAATATCTTTAGGGACTCAGGTCAGGATTAAGGACAGTTCTTTTTAAGAAGGAATGTGTGGCACATTGGACTTACCCCAAATGGCCTCACCTGTAAATACTCCATTCTACATGTCATAATTTGACACGCGGTCTTCCTCCCACCCAGTGTGGGTTTGCCGTTCTCTCCCCTTGAATGTGGTAGGACTTGTGATTTCCTTGACCAGTGAGTAAGACAGAAGTAGTCAAGGCTGGATCAGGAAAAGAATCCAGCTTCATGTGGTTTGCTCTCTTTCTTGAGACACTCAACCTTTTGAACACAGCCATCATGCTCAGAGGAAGCCTGGGCCATGTATGTCACGAGATTTCCACATGGAGGTTCCACATGGAGGTGCCACGTGGAAATGCCTTGTGGAAGTACTGTACCACACTCCAACTAGTGTTTCAGCTGAGCCGGCATCAGCCTGCAAACATGTGAGAGAATGAGCCTCTAGGGACTCTGGCCTCCAGCTTTTGAATCATCCAGCTAGAGTCTCAGACATGGTAGAGCAGAGATGGTTATTTCTCTATACCCACTGTCTAAGAGGGGAATAAATAGTTGCTATTGTCTTAATAAATTAAAGTAATTTATTATTCAGCATTGGATACTTGATAACAAAGGAACTTGAGTAGAGACAGGGCCTCAGCATTTAGATTCGGGGCCCCTGCACATTTGGGACCCCCGTTTGTCAAAGTTATGTAGATTCTGTTTTACTCATTGTTCGGTACTTATTGCTATGTTATCACCCCAAAGTTTAGTGGCTGACAACACAGAAGGATTAATATCTCAGTTATGTGGTTCTTGCTGTTTTTCGTGTAGGGTGCAGTCAGATGTGAATGGAGCCGGGATCATATGGAAGGCCTTCTCCAGTGTCTAGTGGTTGAGGCTGGCTGTCATCTGGGACTGTAGCTGGGGTTGCCAGCTGGAATACCTGTAGGTGTCCTATCCATGTGGCAGGTTGCAGGAGCAAGTGCCTTAAAAGCACCAGCTGGAAACTGTTGCCTTTATGAACTAGTGTCACAAGTCATGTAGCATTCACTTCTTCCCAGAATCAAAGGCAGAAGCATGGACCCTACTCTGGAGGAGAAGTGTCATTGTCACTTTGTTAGAAGAGCTTATGGGATGGGATGGGATGGGATGGGATGGGATGGATATGTGGTGGTCATCTTTGGAAAATGTCACCTTCACTCTCTTGCTGCTGGTTTGGCCTTTCTCCTCAAATTTGGTTAATAATGCAAGCAGTCTTCCATCTAGCCACTTGAACCTCATACATGTGCCAAGCCACTGTGATGCACAGAAAGATCATCATAAGCCCTTTTTCCTAAGGAATAAAGGCACGAGCCAGGTAAGGTGCAGCCATAGATTCTGTTACACGGTGTGGAGCAAGTTTTGTGGGTGTCTGGGATGGGATGGAAGGGCTGCCTGAACCGGCCTTAAAGGATGTGTGGGTGGCTTGCAGGTGGGGGCTGTGGTAACATGGAGGATGAGGGCCAGCTGGAGCAAAGACACAGCTGTATACAGGCACGCTTACTGGGGAATAATAGCCTGCTGAGGCCAGGTTGGAGGAGAGGTTGAAAAAGGATGTTTGAGGCATTTTGTTGGGAAGGAACTTGTGTGTCATAATAACGAGCTTGAGTTTTATTCTGTGCGCAGCAGAAGCCTCTGCTAGTTTTTAAGACAGGTTGATGCGTGACCAGGCATGCACTTTAGGAAGGATGCTCTGTTGCTGTTGAAGGTTTGTTAGAGGGAAGCAAGATTAGTGGCAGGTAGACCAGCTAGAAACTATTAATACATCCAGAGTTCAGGTTTAAACAATATTTACTATTATAATAAGGAAAGTGTTCAGGTTAAACGGAGGGTTTGAAATGGACTCTGGCAGGAAATGAGTAACTTTGTCTTTTCTGTTTTCATAATTTTGAAGTTCTTGGGGTTAGATATGTGTCATAATTTAGAATGTTTTGGATTTTGAAAGATGAACTGGTGCATTTACTCTGTAATGTAAGATCTGGAGCACACACGGTAAGCCGCCATGTTTATTTCTGTACCAAAATGTATGAATAGTCACTCTAGGAGAGATAAATAAAGACTATAAGTAGCCTCATATAGATCAGATCAGATTTCACCGAGTGAGGTTTTACTGCCAATAAGTTTAGAAAAGTTCTGCTTTTCGTTGCTTTTTCGATTTGGGAGTTGTAGTTGAGGGCTTGTGGGTATGTGTGGCATACACACAGAAGCCAGGTTTTAGGTCTCAGGCAAATCTTTTTTTTGTTGGTTTTTTTTTGAGACAGAGTCTCACTCTGTTGTCCAGCCTAGAGTGCTGTGGCGTCAGCCTCGCTCACAGCAATCTCCAACTCCTGGGCTCGAGCAATCCTTCTTGCCTCAGCCTCCCGAGTAGCTGGGACTACAGGCAGAGGCCACCATGCCCTGCTGATGTTTTCTATTCTTAGTAGAGACGGGGTCTCACTCTTGCTCAGGCTGGTCTCGAACTCCTGACCTCAAGCAATCCTCCCACCTTGGCCTCCCAGAATGCTGGATGACAGGCGTGAGCCACCGTGCCCGGCCCAGGCAGATCTGAGTGTTGAGGGGCCTAGCACAGCAGCTCGGTGCTCAGAAGATTGCTCTGATCTACACGGCTTTGGGGTGAGGCAGGAGGCTTCCAAAGGCCTCCCTTAGTGTGAGTGGGCCACCTAATTCCAGTGTCTGGAGAAAAATAAAAAGTTACCTGAAGGGTATGGAAGTCATCTGAAGGGTAGAGAGGATGTGGTCCCTTGGGGTTTTACTGTCAGAGCTTGCAGGTCTGAGGTGGTTCATTGATAAGTCAGGGACAGGCTGTTCCTCTGGCCTTGAGGACGAACCTTCCAGCTAGTGGAGTTCAGTGTCTCTTCACTTTCCCCACCCTTTTACCTAAAGACTTTTTCCTGCTCAGTCCATTAGGGGGCAGGAAGCTGAGAGATAAGAAATCGTGTCCATGAAATGGAGGGAAAGTTCCAACATTGACCACATCCTGGGGGAGAGTAAAGAAATCAGAAGTCTTCTGGGCATCACTCTCTTCTTCCAGGAAACTCTAATTGGTATATGAGCACCGACAAAATAGGAGTTTAATTACACAGTTAAATGGAAACATACTTGAGGTTTCTGAGAAGACTGAAGGTTCTGGAGTTGTTGGAGTGGCACTGGATGCCGGCAGTGCCGGCCAAGGCTGTTGATTTTTGTAAGTTGATTTTTTTATCCTGCTATCTTGCTCAGTTCTTTGTTTGGTTTAGTTTTTATCATTGATTTGTCTTCCAGGCATGTTCTCACAGCATCAGCAAATGGAGATACTTTTGCTTCTTTTCCATTTGTTTTTTGTGGTTCATTTGCATTGGCTGATATATCCAACAGAATGTTAAATATCCCTGGAGATCATGGGCAGCTTGGCTTTGCTCCTGACATTTGTGGGAATGCCTCTGGTGCTTCCTTATTAGGTAAGGTGCTAGCTTCAGTGCTGATGTATAATATTTGATTCTTAAAATTAGTGATCTTGGGGCAGTTTGATTTGAGGAATGGGAAGCATATGGTCACGCCCCTTGCTCTTCCCCCTAAGCTCTGGATGGAAGATGGGAAATGAAATCTGTCAGATAGAGAAGGAGAAGTTGGGGTTAGTTTGCTCTCTCCCTTCCACCAGTATCACTCTCAACCTCCCCCGCAAACACATGTTGCTTTTCTGGGGACTCACCACCTCATTTTGGAGTGGTGGAGCATGCTGTCATAATCCTATTCTGCCATGCAGGCTGACTGCCTAGATTAGGGGAAAGACAGCTCTTTCTAGGAGTGCTCTGGAGTCAATCTCCTGGCCTTCCTTCTCCCTTCTTTTTTTTACTTGTTTCTGTATCATCCACCATTCCTCAACCCTCTGGGGGTGTGGAGCCACGTGCCTTTGTGGTGACGGTCGGTTTTCTCTCTCCTCCTTAGGTGCATGGCTGCTCCCTAATCCCTAGGACTGGGTGAGCGAGCCAGGCAAGCCCCGGCAGCCTTGAGCCCTCCCCTCGCCTTGCTCCCTTGCGGGGGCAGGATGCTGAAGAAGCAGTCTGCAGGGCTCGTGCTGTGGGGCGCTATCCTCTTCGTGGCCTGGAATGCCCTGCTGCTCCTTTTCTTCTGGACACGCCCGGCGCCTGGCAGGCCCCCCTCGGACAGTGCCCTGGACGACGACCCTGCCAGCCTCACCCGAGAAGTGATCCGCCTGGCCCAGGACGCCGAGGTGGAGCTGGAGCGCCAGCGGGGGCTGCTGCAGCAGATCAGGGAGCACCGCGCGCTGTGGAGCCAGCGCCGGGGGGTGCCCACGCCGGCCCCGCCGCGCGTGCCCGTGACCCCGCCGCCCGCGGTCATCCCTATCCTGGTCATCGCCTGCGACCGCAGCACCGTCCGGCGCTGCCTCGACAAGCTGCTGCACTACCGGCCCTCGGCCGAGCGCTTCCCCGTCATCGTCAGCCAGGACTGCGGGCACGAGGAGACGGCCCAGGTCATCGCCTCTTACGGCAGCGCCGTCAGGCACATCCGCCAGCCCGACCTGAGCAGCATCGCCGTGCCGCCCGACCACCGCAAGTTCCAGGGCTACTACAAGATCGCGCGGCACTACCGCTGGGCGCTCAGCCAGATCTTCCACGAGTTCAAGTTCCCGGCAGCCGTGGTGGTGGAGGATGACCTCGAGGTGGCTCCCGACTTCTTCGAGTATTTCCAGGCCACCTACCCGCTGCTGAGGGCCGATCCCTCCCTCTGGTGTGTGTCTGCCTGGAATGACAATGGCAAGGAGCAGATGGTGGACTCGAGCAAGCCCGAGCTGCTCTATCGCACGGACTTTTTCCCTGGTCTGGGCTGGCTGCTGCTGGCTGAGCTCTGGGCTGAGCTGGAGCCTAAGTGGCCCAAGGCCTTCTGGGACGACTGGATGCGCCGGCCCGAGCAGCGGAAGGGGCGGGCCTGCATACGCCCTGAAATCTCCAGAACGATGACCTTTGGCCGCAAGGGTGTGAGCCACGGGCAGTTCTTTGACCAGCACCTCAAGTTCATCAAGCTGAACCAGCAGTTTGTGCACTTCACCCGGCTTGACCTGTCGCACCTGCAGCGGGAGGCCTACGACCGGGATTTCCTCGCCCGTGTCTATGGCGCGCCCCAGCTGCAGGTGGAGACGGTGAAGACCAATGATCGGAAGGAGCTGGGGGAGGTTCGGGTGCAGTACACGGGCAGGGACAGCTTCAAGGCCTTTGCCAAGGCCCTGGGTGTCATGGATGACCTCAAGTCGGGGGTCCCCAGGGCTGGCTACCGGGGCATTGTCACCTTCCAGTTCCGGGGCCGCCGTGTCCACCTGGCTCCTCCGCAGACCTGGGACGGCTATGATCCCAGCTGGAATTAGCAGCACCTGACTGTCCCTCCTGGGCCCCTTCCTTGCCATATCATGAGCTGAGACAGGACCACAGTCCTAGGGCTGCATTGTCCTGTCTGTGTTTCCCTCTTGGGCCCATTTATCTTTTGTTGTTGTTTTTTTGAGTTGCATTTGAGTGCACAGATGATAACGTGAGGATTCTCTCGTTCTCAAGGGAGGCAGACGAGGAGCGCTATTCTGGGGTCTGTTGGAGGGTGTTAAGGCGGAAACCACTGTGTGAGCTTGTTGGGACCAGAAATGTCCATGTCCTGAGCTTTCTCTGGGAGCATCTGCAGAGCGATTGGCGACGTTAGCGCTTCGACCAGGCCCCTCTCCCTGATCGGCTCTTGAAGCCAGGGCCTGAGCCCTGCACCCTTTCTCCCTGTCTCCCAGTTGGGGCCCTGGGTTATGGGAAAAGGGGCGTATTTGTGGCCAAAATGAGACCAACCAAAAGGGCTTCCTTGTCAGGGCCAGGGCAGCATTGTCTCCTTATCCTTGAGCCCTGCCCAGCCCTTCTTTCCCTGCAGCCTGGCAGCTTGTGGCTCTCAGATGGAAAGTCGAAGGGGAAAAGCAGGACCTCTCCTCAGCTCATGTTCAGCCGTTGAGGGAGAGGAGGTGGGAGGAAGGCCTCGGGCAGCGACAACCCCTTCCTCCTCTTGCTCAGAGAGACACTGTCCCTTGACCCCCTTCCTTCCAACAGTTGGTTCCCTCCCTGCTGCTTCAGGAGGTGCCGTGCTGTGCCGGGTTGGTGAAGCCGGAATTTGGCTCCTTGTGCCCCTTTTCCACCCAGGGTTTGGTGCACAGGCTGCTCCCTGAGGGCTGGGGCTCTGATGGCCTCATTGTGAGGAGGGAGAGCAGCCACAACCTGGAAGGCTGGCCCTGGCCGCCGCCCGCCCTGGGGCATCCTCATGTCACGTTAGGTTGGAGGGGAATTTGTGTGTTTTTGTTTGTTGCCTGACCTCAGCTTCATGGAAAAAAGTGGAAACTACAGAATTATTTTGAAAAGTAAAGGCTGAATTGTCTGAAAAATATTTGTGTGAGTGTGTGTGTCTTGGACAGAGAGGTGAAGGGTGGGGGAAGACAGGAAAAGCAGGGAGAACAAGGACTAAGGGAGGGGGCTGTCAAGTGAGAGGAAGGGGAGAAGCTGAGGATGGAAAGCAGGTGGCGGGAAGAGAAGAGCAGAAGGGAAACCCAGGACAGCCGAGGAAGGCCAGGCTCTTCTCTGGAGCCAGGCTGTGGCCCTCAGACCCCACTTCCCGGTTCCTGTCTCCCCGGCTGAGCCTGCCTGCTCTGGGGGGAGCTGGGGCATTCCTGAGTGGGTGCTTTGTGCCAGCATCCTCTGCTGATACAGGCAGCGTTTACTGGGCACCTCCACTACCAGCCAGGGAGCCCCAGGGGGTGCCCCCCATACACGGCAGGTTCAGCAGTGGCGCTTAGACGCCTGACCATGACCCCAGTCAGAGTGCCTTTCATGCTAACAACCAGAATACCCACCAAATGTTGCCTGGAGTGTTGTTTACCCATATCACATGCAGCACATCCTGAGAGTTTCTATGTTCTACTAATGCATTTTTTGTTTAAAAATACACTGTGACTGGATGCAGTGGCTCATGCCTGTCATCCTAGCACTCTGGGAAGCCAAGACGGGAGGATTGTTTGAGCTCAGGAGTTCAAGACCAGCCTGAGCAAGAGGGAGACCCCGTCTCTACTGAAAAGAGAGAATTAGCCGGGCGTGGATGGCACATGCCTGTAGTCCCAGCTACTCGGGAGGCTGAGGCAGGAGGATCAATTGAGCCCAGGAGTTTGAGGTTGCTGTGAGCAGAACTGATACCACAGCACTCTACCCAAGGTAACAGCAAGACTGTTTCAAAAAAAAACAAACAACAAAACAACACTGTGACCCACCGACTTGATTTCATCAGTAGGTCTGAAAACCCTGGGCTAAGTGACTGTCGGCTCAGACCGCTCAGACCACTCGGGAGAGCCAAACCAGAGGAGTCTGTGGAGGGCGTGGCTCCAGGCCCCTTCTCCGGGAACCAGTGTCAGATGATCTGTTTGTCAGGAAATTGGGGTGGAGTTGCTTTTGCCTTTCCCTGTTGCTCTTAAATGGATTATTTAGCCTTGTTTTTTGTTAAATGAGGCAGATGGTCATTGTCCATGATTTGCAGATACGGACACAAGCCCGGAGAGGAGCACGTGATACCTGACAGTCAAGTCAAGGGTTTGGCTGCCAGACTCTGTGTTCTTAGCACTTGATTTACTTAATATTTGCTAACCAAGTGTTTTGTTCTGAGTGCTCCATGACTTTAATACTAACTTATTTAATCCTCAGAGCAATCCTGGATGGTAAGTACCGTCTTGCTGCTGTTTTACTGGTGAAGAAACGCCAGCAAACATAGAGGTCAGCTTGCCCGAGCCACACAGGTGGCGGGGCAGCACCAGGACTGGAGTGGAACCGTGCTGTTCACTGTGTGACACCGGGCTGCCCCATTCTAGCCTAGACTGCCTTTCCTCCGCGTCCCTCCCAGCCTCTCTTAGATTCTCAGGCCCCAGGGCAGCGGCCCTCTCCTGCCAGGGGTGGTCGGGAGTAGGAAGAAGGGGAGAAGCAGGGCCTGAGGCCTGTGGGCGCCAAAAGGACACAAGACAGCCTGGTTTCTCAGGTTTCTCCTGAAGTGAGGCACATTTCCGGGTCCCTTGGTATTCGCTTTGTCAAGGCATTCTCAGGGGGCTGATTGGCGGGGGCTTTCTTAGCTCAAGCTGTCATAACAAAATACCGTGGTCTGGGTGGCTTAACACCTTAACTGCCATGTGAGTTGTATTTAACTCACCAGTTTTGAGCCCAGGGCCTCATGAAGCACATGTAACTCACAGGTCTCTTAACTTTGGGGGCTGTGAGAACCATTTTTCAAGTTGCATGTAACTCTTGCACAGAAAACAATGAAAATAACATTTTTCATTAAATTAGAAAGGATCGGCCGGGTGTGGTGGCTCACACCTGTAATCCTAGCACTCTGGGAGGCCGAGGTGGGCAGATTGCTCAAGGTCAGGAGTTTGAAACCAGCCTGAGCAAGAGCGAGACCCCGTCTCTACTATAAATAGAAAGAAATTAATTGGCCAACTACAGGCCAATTACAGGCGTGAGGCACCGTGCCCGGCCAATAAGTTAGTAACTTATTGTCTCAAGGAATCTGTTTTTTTAGTATTTTGATCTCAGGGGTTTTTTTGTTATCGTTGTTGTTTTAACATAAACGGTGGTCAATTGTATCTAAACTCCTGGAATCTAGATTTAAGGTTTCTCTGAAATTTGTTTGGCTAAGAGCGGTCCATGGAGTTGGCATGAGGCTTATGGTTTTATTTTAATTTACATTACTATGCTTTAACTAGTATAATTGAATAATGCTTTCTTTATGTATGCATGGGAAATACCCAGTCATTTATCTTTAGTGTATTCATTAAGTATATAACCCCCACACCTATCTCACTCATGCTGGAGCATAGAAAACAACCGGCATGCCTGGGGCACACTCCAGATAGGTGCTTGTAATCCCCTACTTCCTCCACCTGACTCAACCCAGCTCTGTCCCCTCCCGCCCTAGCCCCACTCACTGCTGTCCCAAGCGAGGACTCCCTGCTGGAGCCCCAGCCCTTGGCCAGTGCAATGCTTTGGTAAGTCTGACCTTCCCGCCACCAGGTTGAGGAGTGGCTTTGAATAAAATCTGAGTGATGAGTTCAAGGGTCAGTTGGAGTCTACACACCAGAGACAGAGTAACAAAAGATCCAAGGAAGGGAGTAGCCCGTGCAAAGTCCTGAGCCATGGAAAGACTTCACAAAGTTCAATGTGGCTGCAGTTTGGGATTTGTGCAGGAGGTGAGCTGCAGGGAGAGGGCTCAGATGGCAGAGACCTCAGCTTTCCACTGTGCGAAGAATCAAAGGCAAACTCCATGCCATGCCTGGTGAGACTGCGTGGCCCAGCCCCCACCTGGGCCCCTAGGCTCCTCTCCCGTGCCCTCCCCCACCCGCAGGCCTGCTTTGAACTCACCAGGACTTTGCATCTTTGGGCCTTTGTATACCCTCTTCTCTCAGCTTAGAATCCCCCTCCCCATCCCACCTCTCCTAGTTAACCCTTTGCACTTGGATGTCGAGTGTGGATAATGTCGAGTGGATAATGAGAAAAAAGCAAGCGTGTGCAGAGGGTTAATGCACTCGTCAGAAAAGTCAGGTGCCTGAAGGTGACACACTCTGAAGGCTTTCGGTGCCTTCCCTCACTACCTGTACCCCAGGTTGCAACTGTCCATTCCCGTGTCTGACTGCTGCTGCTGTCCATCCCTGCCCGTCAGGATGCGAGTGAAGCTTAGGTCTGTCCGTTCACTCTTGCACCCCCAGTGCCTAGCACAGTGCCTGGTACAGTCGATGTCCATAAATATGTGGTGGATGGACAGAAGGCAAATGGATGGTGGACGAAGGGAGGGATGAAGATCCAATACTCAGGGCATGCACATGCCAGACTTTACGAGGGATGAAGCACTGGTTGCCATGTAGAGGTGTGGTTTTAGAGGCTGAAAAAGCCTCTTTTGCCTCCAAACTCCAAAGCCATCGGAGGCGAGAGTGGCACCAAGGAGATCCTGGCTCCCTGGAGTCTGCGGTTGGGTCTTCGGCTTTACAACTCCGCCACCTAGTGGCCGAGAGGTGCATCTGCGGGAGACGGCAGCCACCTACAAGAGGTGCTAAGAAACAAGGAACCGCTTTGAGAGAGCTTCCGATGCTCATCCCCCAACTGGTCTGCACCAAGCGTTTAATCCCAACAGTTACACGTCTTCCCGGAAAGCTTATCAAAATGGAAATATGCTCCTTTAGAAAAATAAGCAGGGTTTAGGAAATTATCATCCTCTAAGTTACTAATGATTACCCTACAACAATAATTTCGGTGTCGACTTTAAGGGCTTAGGTACATGGAATCTATTAGTACCAAGTGATAATTCTAAGTGTAAAAGGTGAGCATGTCACCTTAGAGCCAAAATCGTCAATGAAACGAGCATGTTCAGCATTTTCTTATAAAATGTGCAAATACACAACTCCTGTTTTGTTTGCTGGGTAGCTGCTAGCCACGTTGTGTGACCCTGGGGCCCTGACATGGCCATCTCTTTCCATCTTTGTGATGTCCCGTTTCCGTACTGGGCTGTGCAAAAGTAGAGGGGAATGAAGCAGGGAGAGGGGACAGAGGAGTTGGAGAACCGCCAGGACTTAGAGTCGGAGAGGCCCAGGCGGTTACGGCGACATCTCTTCCTCCTCCTGTCACTGTGAGCAGGTCACTTAACCTCACAGAGACTCATTTTTGCTGATCTATAAAGTGAGGACTAGTAACATCACATATAAGGGTACTGGCATCCCCATTTTACAGATGAGGAAATGACTCAAAGTAAGGAAGTCACTTCTATATCTGGAGTTGGACAGATAGAAAGTGCCAGAACCAGTACCCACACCCTGGTCTCCAAAATGGCCAAAGGTTGAATCCATGACACAGCATGGCAAATAAATGAGTGCATCCATGAATAAATGGCTGGTGCCTCCTGGTGGAGACAGCACGCCCTTTCAGCCTGTCTAATGTCAGCCAAAGCCCCTTCACGGACGCCCGAGTGCCCTCTGCCTCCAAAGCTAACCTGGCAACACAGGTCGTTTTAATTTTATCCCGAAGTTAGCATCAGTTTAGCAAGAGGTGAAAGAATCTCTCTCCTTTCCAAATAGACCCCCAAATCTGTGAAATACTTTGAGGTCTCCAGATGAAAGGACTTCTTGAAACACTCTATCCATGGATGAATGTCAGATTCTTTGTCTTTTCAGCTTGCCAGCCAAACAAAGCTAAAATAAAAAGCTCTGGCCAGGCGCAGTGGCTCACGCCTGTAATCCTAGCTCTCTGGGAGGCCGAGGTGGGCGGATTGCTCGAGGTCAGGAGTTCGAAACCAGCCTGAGCAAGAGCGAGACCCCGTCTCTACAATAAATAGAAAGAAATTATATTGGCCAACTAATATATA